GGTGGTGTACGTTAGTGTATTACAAGGGTGTCTCATGATAAGACTACTTTTTCTTTTTTATTTTGTTAAATAAAATCCAAATGTAGGAACCAAAACCAACCAGAATCAGATGCTGATGACTCATGCCTATAACCTGACCCAGTCAGGAGGCTGACATCTGAGAATTGCAGTTTGGAGCCAGCTGGGCAGGCAAAGCTAAGAGATTCTTATCTCTGATTGATCAACAAAAAGCTGGAAGAGGAAGTGTATCTCAAGTGGTAGAGCGCCACGCATGAGCTACGAAGCCAAGTGAGAGCACAAGGCTCATAATTCAAGCCCTAATACCACCACGCACGTGTGCACACACACATACGTACACACACACGCACATACACACACGCACAAGTCAAGTTTTCAGACTTCTGTCTAGTCTTGTTCTATAAATAAGTAATTTTTAAATTTTATTTTATAGTAAAGGTGATGTACAATAAATATTTTAAGGAATAATTTGTCAGTTAATACTAGAAATTGTTTTTGTTAATAATTTAATTCAGATGTTTATTGCCACTTACTTAATTTAGACTTTGAATGCAGCCTTCAGGATGATTGCTTGACTAGATACTTTGCTTGACAGCAAGGATTGGAAGAATGCAGATGACTTATTTAGGGCTGCTGTTGCAACCCTAATACCTTAGTAAGATTTTTAAACACTTAAGTGGATGCTATAATTTGAGTTCTAAATAAGAGTTTTACTTTTTTAGTCCGTGACACCTAATCATTTTATGTTTGTTGAAAGGCAAAGCAAAAGACTAAAGAAAATCAAAGGAACAAAAATGTATATCTAGACAAACTTGCATGCTTTTATGTGTATTCTAACCTAGTACTTAATTTGGCCAGCCTAATTTAAGTTTAAATAAATTTTTTTTACATTTTTTCTATTGACAAGTTTTTTTCATTGTGAAAATACTGTACAGAGGAGTTACAATTACATGGGCAAGGTAATGAGTACATTTCTTATCAAGCATTGTTGCCTCCTCCTTTGTTTCCCCTTACCATCCCTTCCCATTTCCCCCCTCCACTCCTCGCCAAGTTGTAAAGTTCGTTTTTTGACATAACATCTTGTAAAATCCCCATCTTACTGGCAAGTTTTAAAGAGTGATATAAAGAATTTGAGGCCTGGAGGTATGGTTCAAGTGGCAGAATGTTCAGATCTGCACCAGTGGCTCATGTCTATTCCTCTAGCTACTCAGGAGGTTGAGACCTGAGGATCATTGTTTGAAGCTACCCTGGGCTGACAAATCTGTGAGACTCCAATTAACCAGAAAGACACTAGAACTGGAGATGTGGCTCCAATGGTAAAGTGTCACCTTTGAGTCCAAAAGCCAGGCAAAACGGCGAGACCCTGAGATCAAGCCCTAGCACACACAAACAGTAAGTGATGGAGTATACATGGTATAGTGCTTATTTAGCAAGCCTCAGGCCCTAAGTTCAAAATCCCAGTACTACTAAAAAAATGCCATCCTTGCCAGATCATGCACAAAGAACTTTCTGCAACTTTCTGTAAGGGGCCATCACTTCATCTTACCTTAGCTCCCTAAAGATGGGGCAGTCCAGACAACTTTTTTCGGGTGTTCCCTACTCAAGAAATGATTGTGTATACAAGATGCATAATAAATTAGCAAACTCCTTGTACCCTAAAGCAATGCAAATTGAAGCTCAGAAAATTTGGACAGCTAATTAATTGTCCCTGTTTTAGGGGAGATCTGATTTCACTAGATGTTCCTTATGCCTTGGGAATCAGGTGATTGCCTTGGTCAATCACCTGAGAGGAAAAAGCTTTCATAAAAGGTTGTGATATGTACTCATTACCTTGCTCATGTAACTGTAACCCCTCTGTACAGTATTTTCACAATTAAAAACTTATTAAAAAAAAAAAGGTTGTGATAATCAGGATAACCTCATCTTCACAAAATCCTCTGCTACTACTTCTGTTGTCTTCCCAATATAACCATCTAAATACACACATATCCTCTTGAAACTACAAGAATAAGAATCCTCCTGAGTAAGACATCCTCTGTTCTCCAACATACCCCTGCAAGATATTTAATTTGGTCATGTCCTTTTTTTTTTTTTTGAACTTTTTGGTTTTCTTTGGTATCAGAAATTCCAATACACTTCCAGAAATCTACTCTTCTCACCTGATTCCAAACTTCAAAAGCTTATAAATTATACAGCAAAGATAAGGCAGCATGCTAGGTCCAGGAAGGACATAGCTGGCACTCAAACCCATTCTTATTTCTTTGTGTGAGGCAGGATATTTTGGCAGCAAGCAACGGAAAGCGTGTAGACAACTGTATTCGAGTCACAAAGCAGGGCTGGATGATTTAGAGCAACAGTGTCCTGCCTCACAGTTTGAGAAACCAGAAGTCTTAAATTAGATGTCATTAGTGCCATGTTCACGCTGCAAACTGTAAGGGAAGGCTTCTCCCTGCCTTCCTTCTAGCTCCTGATGGCAATCTTTATGGATACATCACGGTAATCCTCTATCTTCATGTGGCCATCACTATTCAGGTCTCCAAATTTTCCTTTTTAAATGATGCCAAACAGATTGAATTTAGGCTTGCTCTAGCAATCATTTCAAGACTACAAACTCTGCTTCCAAATAAGGTTATACTCCCAGATTCTGAAGGGTAGGAATTCAATACATCTTTGGGGACCAGGAGAACATAATTCAACTCATAACACTTACTTAAACATGGAATTTATTGGAAAAGTAAGAAGTGCTTAAGTTAACTGAAGGAAGAGTGAAATAATGCAGGTTTGAAGCAGCTCACACATAACTATTCCAAAGTCCCAGGATCAGGAGCTAATCCTCAGTCCTAGGAGGACTTATTCCTGCTAGAATTTGGGAAGCTCATCTGGCTTTTCCAAAGACAAGGAAGAAAGATGTGAAATAATAAAACAACAACAATAATAATAGTAATAATAAACCTTGTCCCCTGGAAGAAAGCAAGGAGAAGGGTAAAACCAAAGAAAATCACAAAGTTATCACTAATTCTATGTTAATAATTAACATAGATGATTATTATCACCAATTAGAAATATTAGCCATTCAGCTAATGCTGGTTATTTCTGAGTTATCTCTAGTTACATTTTATGATCATGCCATTTTAATTATGGGGAAAATTAACTCCAGACCAGCTCTTTTCCTGTCCTTTGGTCTGCTTTTCCTAAACTCCGGCCTAGGTCAGGACATCCCACAGGTGTGGTCAGTTGTCCCCAGGTGCTTCAGACAGACTCAATTGCTGATGTGCCTACTTTTCATGCTGCAACTCTGGGCTCTCCCTGCTCCACCCTCCCTCCCCCACATCCCACCGCTACCACCTCAAAGAATACAGCCATTGTTATATTAGATAGGCTTTGAATTAAGAAAAGAAGAGGTGGAAAAAATTAACAATGCGAACTGCAGAAAATTAGGGGTATTAAGGAGGTGGCTTATTATTAAATAGTGTAATCATCTTAAAGAATAGACTTAGCCTCCAACCTGTCCTTTTTTTGTACCATTTTCTTTGGAGCTTTTTTACTCTTCCAAAGAGAAATAGCTAATAGGCCTACTGTAGCAGTTTGCATGTCAAATTCCACGCCATGTTATGTAAAGAAGGGGATATCACTAACGATGGACTAACATGTATGGCGAGTCTGGGAGTTAGAGTCTAGGCCATTAGCAGGGTAGGTCACTCCCAGCTTAAATGTAGAATACTACTACTATAGGTAGAGCATGACCTCACAAAGTGTGATTAGCCCATGGGGGAGAACAGAGTCTGGTAGGACAGCTAAGGTAGGAAATGATGGTGAAAGGGAAGGTAGGGAATGATAGAGAAGAGTGCTTTTGAAATGTTACATTCTTAGCTTCAGAGAAACCAATGATCTGGCCAGAAGTAATGCCTGTGAATTCTGCTCATGACTCATGGACCTGAACCAATCACTTAGCTCCACCCAAATCTAGGAGGGCAGGAAGTAACAATCCCCCCTAAAGGAGAAACTAGACCTGTTTACTCAATGAGGATATTGACTCCTCACTGTCAAAATGCAATTTCAGGTTGATTCCCAACAAGCTGTGATTCAGAAATTCCTGGAAATCTGTATTTGTGTGTATGTGTGTGTGTATGTGTGTGTTGGGCTTTTTTTGTACAAGGCTGGCATTCTGTCACTTGAGCTACAACTCCGCTTCTGGCTTTTTGGTAATGAGTTGAAGATAAGAGTCTCACTGACTTTCCTGCCTGGACTGGCTTTAAACTCAGATCTCAGTCTCCTGAGTAGCTGGGACTACAGGTGTGATCCACAGGCACCTGGTAAAACACCTTCATTTTTTAGGCTTCCTCAGTTGCTACTGAGACATGTGGGGAAGGAGGGAGGGAGAATCCCTGGACCACAGTTTGAGGAACATAAACATAGAATACCAACTCAGCACCTGATGGTGATTCAAAGGAAGTGCGTAGGATCAAGCTGGGGTAATCTTGGGTTTCAATTAGAGAAACTAAGGGCGCCTGAGAGCATGGCTCAGTAGAAGTCCCAGGCACGAAGGTTGCATTAAATGTATCTGAGACAGAGAAGCCCTGCACTCCATCAAACACTGGTAGATGAGGAAGAATGAGAAGGCAACTCCAGCCAGCGCTCTCCAGATGTGGTCTAATGCTTAGGTTCAGAGCAACAGAAGCTTAATTGGCCATGAGTTAACACAAGATACTGTATAATAATTTTTCCTTCCTCTCTTGTTTTCTCCCTTCCTTCTCTTTTTCTTTTGCATCCTGTATCACATGCTATTCTCTTCCCCATGATTCTCTTTTTCTTATTTTTATTCCTTGCTTTCCCTTCTAATTATTCTGTTCTCAATCTTTTCTCCCTTCTCCTACCTATCCATCCCTCTTTGTCACTCCATCTCTTGTTCCTTAATCATTCTCCTTTCCCTTTTCCTGCCATTTTTGCTTGCTCATGGCCCACCAACTCTATTGCCTCTCCAGGTATTATGCCATCTGCTGCCAACCTCTGGTTTACAGGAACAAGATGACCCCTCTGCGCATCGCATTAATGCTGGGAGGCTGCTGGCTCATCCCCACGTTCATCTCTTTTCTCCCTATAATGCAAGGCTGGAATAATATTGGCATAGTTGACTTGGTGAGTATGTACATAACATACTCTACTGCTTTCCTTTCCTATCAATTTGGCTTGGAATTCTAAATAAACAAATAATGAGAAACTGGGTGAATAATCTAAAGAAGATTCTGATTGTATTTGGAGACTTTCTTTTACTAATCTTTTTTTTTTTTTATCAGTTGTGGTGTTGAACTCTCTGGCCCTGATCACTTTTGCTCAAGACTAGAACTCTACCATTTGAGCCATGGTACCACTTCTGATTTTTTGGTGGTTAATTAGGGATAAGACTTGCATGGACTTTCCTGCATGGTTGGTTTTGAACTGGGATCCTCAGATCTCATCCTCCTGAGTAGCTAGGATTACAGGTGTGAGCCACCAGTCCTCACATTTTTTAAAATAACATTTGACATAGTCTCGCTTTGACCACACTTTAGGGAGAGTTCTCTGAATTTGCTTGCCAATTAAACCTGACTTTTTGAATTTCCATGTCATCTTTACATTCGTTCATTTTAGCAAGAATCTGCTGAATTTGTTTAGCCAGAATTATTTACCCTCAATATCTGATGATGTTCCCCCATCTCTCCTGAGCCTCCACCTGAGATCCAGTGACTTGGTCTGTCTTCAGTAAGCATCAATTTGGCTATGGTTTCTCTTACATACTGATGTTTCTTCTTAATAATTTCCCATCCACTCACCCTCACTCGCCATGCATCTTGGCTATGACTTCCTGCTTTTCTTGTTATATGCAGAGCTGTACTCTATCCTCCTCTTCTATTGCCAATTCCCTCTTGTAGTCTTTCCCTATCAGCTATTACACTAATGCTGAATAAAGTCTTCCTGAAGTGCTTTAACAAGTGTCACTAATAATGTTTCCCTTTAATGTTACTGTATGTCAGACATTACACTAAACCCAGATAATCCTAACAATATCATTTTGGGAAGCATATAATTATTTACACACTTTACAGAAGAGGAAATCTAGGCTCAAAAGGTTAAATAACATTCCCAAAGCCATGCAACTTACAAATAACTGAACAGGGACTAAAGGCTTAGCAGTTAGATGACAGAATTTGAGGTATGTCATATGTCCCATAAGAATTTTAACCCATTTTACACGATTAGTCTGTAAATTCTGCGGTAACACAGAGAAAACATGTCATCTATATGAATGCTAATGGAGTAGAAGGAGTCCTGGGCCAATAGTTGAGAGAATTAAGCCCTAAGCCAAGTTCTGTTACAGTTCCACTTTCTGAAGGACTGTAATCAGAAAGCCATCTGGTCCCCATTAGCTCATCAACACCATAGGCTGTCCCGTGAATTGTGTCAGGCAGTTTCCAGTCTCTGTGTCTTGATTTTCCATAGAAATAAACACAATAGGATGTTTTGTGTGTATACATACATGTACATACGTATGCTTATCGATATTCATATGGAGAAAGAGACGGATATGGAGAGAGGGAGAGAGAAACTTAGAAGGAACTGCCTTGTAGTTATGAAGGTTGAGAAGTGGCTTACATCTGTAATCCTAGCTACTCAGGAGGCTGAGATGAGACCTAGAGGATGGTGTTTTGAAGCCAACCTTCACAGAAAAGTCTACCCACCCATTAACTGGCAAAATACTGGATAATACACATGTCATAAGTGCTGGAAAACCAGCTGTGGGCAACAGAGCTGAGTAAGAGTGTGAGGTAATGAGCTCAAGCCCTGGTGCTGGACCTTGACACAGAAAAAAAACCAAACCTGCATTCAGCACACTAAAGATCCTGGAGAACCTATTTTTTCAGTTCAAGTCCAAAGACAGAGAAAACTTTATCTCATCTTGAAAGCAAGAAGGCAACAGAAGCTCCTTCAATCTGTTTCCTACTCAGGCTTTCAATAGATTGAAGGATGCCTCACATCAAGGAGGGAAATCTGCTTTATTTAATCGATGAATACAATGGTAATCACATCCAAAAAATATCCCCACACCAATGTGTTACCTAATGTTGGTTATAGCTCAAGTTGAGTTAACATTTGAAACTAACCACCTCACCCTGTCTGGACAATTTTGAAGAGCCCTCCATTCCAACGTAGCAAAATTATAATGAAGATAAAATCTAGAGTCTAGATTCACTCCCCTCAGGGTACTTTTCCTAAAGAAACTGTCAGACACTCTAAAATCAGTCCCAGGATCCAGGTAGATGCAGGAAGGGGACAGAGAGAAGAGAGACTGAGCATGGTAGCTCAGTATTCTTCCTCTCTCTTAGTCCCTATGCCTACTTTTTCTTTGCCCATGAAAGTATATCTATCGAAACCAAGACCCATGCCAAGACTTACACCTGTTACATTAGAACTCAAGTCCTCAGGTATCTGAAGGAAATGCTAGAAGAGGCGGGAGAGTGACGTAGAGTGAGGATCCATAGGGGAAAATATAGGGATATTTCTCTTGAGTTATCACCCATGTCTTTAGAACTGCAGTTTTATCACTCTTGGGGGAAGTGAAATCTAAATTTCCAGTAAATGTTATTGCAGTAATAACTGTCTACTAATGTTGCACATTTTTAGCAAGTCCATGTTCATGATCTTTTCCTGTGAACTTCGCTTAGATCTCACAACAACAGTATAACATAGAATCCATCGCTGTGCTCATTTTACAGATCAGGAAACTATGGATCAGCGAAATTATTAGGCAAGGCCTTGGTAAGAGGTAGTAATAACTATATCTTAACCAAAGTTTACTGGATTCCAGAGCCTTTGTAAAAATTATCTGGAGAGGATGTTTGAAGCACATGGGAAATTTTTAGTAAGAGCTCAGCATTCTTTTTTTTTTTTTAAATTTAATTTTATTTTATTTGTGAACATACTGTACAGAGGAGTTACAGTTACCTGGGCAGGATAATGCGTACATTTCTTACCAAGCATTGCAGCCTCCTCCTTTGTTTACCCTTCACATCCCTTCCCAGCCTCCCCTCTCCCCCCCTAATCCCAAACCTTCTCCTCCCCCCCCTCCCTGCACCGACATTGTAAAGCTTGTTTTGGACATGACAACTTGTACTTCTCATTGTTGCAACAGGTCCACCTGTATCCTTAAACAACTGGTTTTTCCCCATCTCCTCCACAAGTTATACTGACATCAAATATAGTGAAAGCAGGGGTTATACTGTGGGGGAGGGACATACAAACCAACAAAGAGATAATCTTATAAATGTGTTAGAAACACATTAATGAAAGAAAAAAACATTAAAATACACATCTAAGGGTTCATTTTCCTGACATCACATTATCTGACCTTTTCCGCTTGACTCATACATATACTAGATATTACAAATAAGGGAAACCATGGGACCTACGTTTCTTTGGGCCTGGCTTACTTCACTTAATATAATTTTTTCCAAGTTTTTCCATTTCCTAACAAATGGGGCAATGCCATTCTTTCTGATGGAGGCATAGAATTCCATTGTGTATATATACCACATTTTCTTGATCCATTCATCTACTGAGGGGCATCTGGGTTGGTTCCATATCTTAGCTATGGTAAATAATGCTGCAATAAACATAGTTGTGCTGGTAGCTTTAGTGAGCTCAGCATTCTTAACTTCTGGTGTAGAATACCCATGGAAAACATATAGAGCACTCCTATGACCCAGCAATCCCACTCTTAGGCATTTACCCAAACAATCACAAACAAGGCCATACTAAAGCTACCAGCATAGCTATGTTTATTGCAGCATTATTTACCACAGCTAAGATATGGAACCAACCAGATGCCCCTCAGTAGATGAATGGATCAAGAAGATGTGGTATATACATATATATGTGTATATATATGTATATGTATGTATATATGTATATATATATATGTATATGTATACACACACAATGGAATTCTATGCCTCCATCAGAAAGAATGACACCGCCCCATTTGTTAGGAAATGGAAAGACTTGGAAAAAAGTCTTATTAAGTGAAGCAAGTGAGACTCAAACATAGGTCCCATGGTTTCCCTTATTTGCAATAACTAGTATAGGTCTAGGACAAGCAGAAAAGGTCAAAAGCTATGTACATATGATCATATAATCTGATGCTAAACGAAATGAACCCCAAGATAGGGACACAAGAGGTTTTTTATCTTTGTTGCTGATCTTTTTAATATACTTACAATGTACTACGTGATTTTTTTTTGTTTCTTGTATGTTCTTCCCCCATGGTATAACCCCTGTGTCACTGTATTTGATTCTGGTGCCCTGCATCTTGCATATGCATTTTTCTAATTTGGGGAGGGGAAGGGAAATAAGAAAATGCTGAAATAAGGATACAGGTTGACCCATTGTAACAATGAGATGTACAAGACACTATGTTGAAAACGGACTTTACAGCTTGGGGGAGGGTAGAGAAGTTGTGGAGGTGAGGAGGAAAGGGATGGTAGGGGAAAATAAAAGATAGGAAATGAACTCATTGCCTTGCTCATGTAACTATAACCCCTCTGTACAGTACTTTTACAATAAAAATATATATTAAGATAAAAAAGAAAGAAAACAAGGTAGGAGGTTTCTTTTTACCCTTGAGGGTAAATTAGAGACATGCCCTATTACCAGCTATCTAGATGAAGCATCTGCTTACCATTAACAGGACTTAAGTGCATCTATCGCCATTCGCCACCTGTGTGATCACAACATTCAGTGCTTATTCTCATTGTCCTCAGCTATCACATTTTATTCACTGCCAACACTGAACCAGCAAACAGTGAATCTTTGCTCCTAAGGGAAACACAAGGTTAGACTCCTCTAAGTCTTTAATTGCATTTTTTTATTAGCTAGTCAATACATAATAGTATTTTATGTATTTTTTATTTAATGACACTGATTTAGTTCACATTGTTAACTCATTATCACTGAATTGAATGCCAGGGCACTGTAGCAACTGCCTGAATGAAACTTGTCTAATGCATGTATCTTTTTCTTTAAAGACCTTTGGCAGTTAGGAACCCTGGACAACATTTTAGTCAGTACTAATAAGGGATATACTAAATAGTGTGACGGACAAC